GATGCCGTACTACATTGCCCTTTTTGCTTTTTGTGGTTTGTTAACTGCTATGAGAATACTAGAACCCTTAAGGTGTAAATAAGGCAGTCCATCATTTTAGCAGAACAAAAATACCATTCTATCCTAATATCATTCTAAGACCCACTGATCTTCCGTTGCCTGGAGGGAAGTGGCAGGTATAAGAATATTCTTTGTACTTTTTAGCAAATGATGGACAACCCCTAAAGGCTTTTTAAATAATGAAGAAAAAAAAGCTTTATTTTCCTTTGTTGGAGCAATAAGATTTGTTACACTTAATATAAATTTCTATTGGGGGTGGAAGAAGGAGGTAAAAATGAGGAAGATGATTTAGGATTCCAAAAATTGTAGTTGCTTGTGGAAGGTTTTTGCTGAAAATAAATCTTCTCTCTTGAGACCTTAGTTTGTTCTGAAGAATAATATTACAAAATCTAACATTGCACAATAAAAAAGGCAAAAGCAAGGGAAGATTGATGATGATGATTCTTGGCAGTTCATTTAAACTGGTATGTTCACTTGGCCTTGTTTTTAATACTGAGATGCTTTATGTCCCTGTTTCTGCCTATATGAACTAAATTGAGTTAAACATGTACAATCCTAGCTCTATGCAAAAATCCTCATTCAGGGTCCTGTGATTCTTTGAATGATCAGGCAAGATAGTGAAATGGGAGATTGGGGAGAAAAGAGCAAAACAAAGATATCCAAAGGTCTTTGCAGACACATTCAGGATAAAGTCTGATTAAAATGAACTGTTAGCCAAATGAGAGGCCCATCTGATCTTAGATACATTTAAAACAAATGACTTCCCAAGTTCCCTTGCTCTTGGGGCCCCTTCCACTAGCAGAAATATAGCAATGCCTGGATTAGACTGATCTGCCACGTTAACAGTAGAACTGGAGAGGGAGGAACTTGATCTCAAGGCCCCTTTGGCATCAGAATCAGTGGGAGAGGAAATTAATAAATAGTCTATTCCTCCCTGTGCATAGACTTGGGGGCCCCACAAAGCATAAGCATGATTCAGACTTAGATGTGTGATAGTAGCTGTATTTATGGCTATACATGTATTATTGGTAGGTTTTGTTTGGGGATTTTATTTTTTATGGATGATAAGGTTTGGATTTTTTTTTCCTTCATCATTCACCTCACTTTTTTTAGTCTTGGACTATTATTGTCTGAGTGCTGGCAAGTTAAGGGTCAGGGAACAAAGTTAAAACCTCTGTGTGTGTGTGTGTGTGTGTATATGTGTATTTGTTAATAGTCATTTGTGATATGAGTAAAAACTACTTGCTTTCCCTTCCCCTATATATCAAATGAAGTGAGAGGGAATCTCTTAGAATAGTCTGCTTTAAATTTTATATTAGAAGTAGTAACAAAATAAACAGCATGGCTAAACAGAAATGGGTAAAACACCTTTTAGAACTTCATCATCTTCATCATCATCATCATCACTAGCATTTACATAGCACTTAAAGGTTTGCAAAGTACTGTACACATGTTAACTCAATTTGATCCTAACTACAGCTACTCCCTTTGAGGGAGGTGTTTATCAGCCTCATCTGCTTTACAGATGAGGCTGATAGAGGTCAAGTGATTTGCCCAGAGCTAATAAGTGTGTGAGGTAGGATTCAATGCATGTCTTGCTAACTCTAAGTCCAACTGTTTATCCATTGCACCACCCAGCTAACTGCATCTCACAATTTAAAAGTGTTATTACCAAAGAGACCTATACTCTCTGTTTTGCTATTCATGAAATAGAAGTCTCTCTTTACCTTTCTTTTTAAAATGTCAGTTTCAAGGAAATTCCTGATTACATAAAGCTATGAGGAGCAGAAAAGGTAAAGAAGAAGTTTCCCATTTGTTGGTATATCAGTCTGATCAATATGTCAAATTCATGACAGGTCAAAAAAGTATTCTTTATCTGTTTGGGTTTTTTTGTGGCTATGGAATTCTTCCAGAAGGCTCTGGAATATTCCAGCGTTTGAATAAATCAGCACAATATCATTGACAAATAGAAGCATCTGGATGACTGACTTTTTTAGGGAATCTCTCCTCGTCTTGAACTCTATACTGTATGTAATTTATCAAAGTAGTAATTATCTGATCTTATGAAATTTTTAATGTAAGTTCTATTTTCTCTATAAGCATATTTGGGATGCACATGTCCTTGATGTTGAAAAGAGTTTGCTATAAAAGTAATTACTGATCTTTTCTATCTTCTGTCTTTTTATTGCCCTCCTTCCAATTTTATCCTTAAAGACCTTCAGAATGATTTTGCTTAGTATGATCTCTTATAAGACTTCTATAAACTAGATTTTACCTCTAGTACTGCTTACTGGGCAGCTAGGTGATACAGTGGACAGAGTACCAAGACCAAGCCTGGAGTCAGGAAGACTCATTTCCCTAAGTTCAAATCTGGTCTCAGACACTTACTACCTGTGTGACCGTGGACAAATCACTTAACCCTGTTTGCCTCAATTTCCTCATCTGTAAAATGAGATGGAAAAGGAATGGCAAACTATTCCAGCATCTTTGCAAAGAAAACCCCAGATTCTGTCATGAAGAGGCAGACACAACTGAAACAAATAAGCAACAATAACTGCTCAATAACTTTCCGCCATCTTTTATAAGCTCTTACAAATAAGCTTATTTACTGAATTGGTGTCATCCTCGGCCTTCACATCTCTCTACTTTTCAAGTAAATTAAGTGTTTGATGACTAAATAATTCTTATTTATGGATGATGGTTGTGCCATTAGAATTAAGACATGATAGTCCTATCTCATTGGATATGAACAATACCCATATGTAAATATCATAAGTTATTTTAAAAAGAAAGATTAATGATGTTAAGGCTAAAGCCATCATGGAGTAAATTCCATGACCACCTAATGACTAGAATGCGAACTTGACCTGCAACATTGCCTGTTTTGAATCAATCTTTCTGAAGTGACCTCAGATACAGAGATCTCATGAAACTGAAGAGATTATGTGATGGTATTAAATCTAGGTTTAACCTCATAAATATTTATTTTTCAAACCAATTCAATAAAAAGCTAGTAGAATCACCTCAGAATATAAATTCAGTTACTCCTGAGATCCATGTTGTTTTTGCTGTTCAGTCATTTCAGTCACGTCCAACTCTGAGACCCTATTTTGGGGTTTTCTTGGCAAAGATACTGAAGTAGTTTGCCATTTCCTTCTCTAGCTCATTTTACAAATGAGGAACAGAAGCAAACACAGTTAAGTGACTTGCCTAAGGTCACACAGCTAGTAAGTGTCTGAGGCTGGATTTCAACTCAGGAAGATGAGTCTTCCTAATTTCAAGCCCAGTGCTCTATCCACAATGCCACTCAGCTGCTCCCTTGAGGTCCATAGAAGATATTTAATGTACCATTCTGTTTATTCATAAACATTTCTTTTGTAAGGATGGTTGTATGTGTACACACATGCATGTGTATATATAAACATATGTCTTAAATACCAATAATCATTTAATTCTTTCTCAGGTAAATCTTGATTCCCTAATTAATTTACATAAGTATGATCCTTGTTACACAACTAGGTATTAAGATAGGAATTGAGGTAACAATGATCAACTGTGAAAGACAAGAACAGAGGACCCTATATAGGGCTAGGGATTTGAAACAGTCAGTGCAAAGGCAGAAAGATGGCAGTGAAGCAGATCACATTTAAATATCTGACCTCCTTCATACACAGAGAATATTAGCAGATCCCAGCTTTTCTAAATATATGATTTTAATGACTCTACTTAGAGTTAGAACACCACAAAATGCCTTCACTACTTTTTCTTCAATACTGTATTCCTTTTTTGATAAGATACCAACAGGTCTCTTGTGTCTGTCCTAGATGGTAAGCTCCTAAAGGGCAGAACCAATTTCTACTTAGATTAAATAGAAGAGTACAGCATCAAATATAGTTAGGATTTTGAAATATTTTGTTGATGTCAAATGTTTTGCTTTTTGGATGAAGATATTTGCCAATATCATATATAGACATGTTAGCAGGTGATATAAATTCATACTTATCATGCCACGATTATGTTAGCCATATAAAAAGTGACGCTGCATCATGAAAGCTATGGTTCAGATTCACTATATCTGTGGCAATATGATAGGTCTATTATGACCCATCATGTGAGAAATTGTATATACATTGCCTATGATGCCTTGTTTTGTTTCTCATCCATGGACTGGTAAACCTAATGCTGTATATTGATATAAATATATAAATATAATATGAATGAAAAAGCATTTATTAACATTATTGCTACATGTAGTAAGCATTGTGCTAAGCCCTGGGGATGCAACACCACAAGGGGAAACAATTTCCATACTCCAGAAACTCCTACCAGTGACCAAGGAAGGATATTTTGGTTACAAAAGTTAGGAGGATAATGAGTAGAGCCATAGGACAGGAGACTGACACACCCTTTCCAAGAGAAATGGTAGTATTTATTTGAATTTATTTCTAGAATTGGAAAGGGAATAGGCAGTGAAAGGGTTGACTAACCACTGCATATTGTCTGATGAAAAGTTGGCTGAGGTGTAAGTCCTAGATTTGGGGTAAATCACCAAAATTATATTGGTTTAGGGAATTGCATGGAGGGAAATTTGTTTTTCCTGTTTTTCTCAAGTTGACTTCATATTTTAATACTGGAGTAGTTTTGTAAGTTTCACATGAACATTTATTTTGAAAATTCCATATAACTAGGTATAGTCATCCAGGAGATGGGAGACACTTTGCGGCTGTCATCCATAACCTCTATCCAAGTTTCTGACATCAGAATGTAGCAGAGCTACTGTTGGTGTTTGAAGTGTTTTAGTGTTTTTGGTGGTAAAAACTATGTGTGAATGAAATTAGTGTTTAGATGAAGAAAGAATACCTCATATTGAAAAGTAATAGAACTGTTGCTACTTTTGTGTGTGTAAAATGTATGTATGTGTTGTTGTTGTTTTTTGACAGCTTTTTGGAAACTACAGCCTATTTCTTCATGAAACCAAAAATGGGAGAGAAGGAAGTGTCCCCAAATGTTTTCTTCAGCCTCTGGCACGAATTCAGCTCTGACTTTAAAGATTTCTGGAAAAAAGAGAACAAACTTATTCTCCAAGAAAGGTAGGTTGTTTTCATAAAGACATTTTAAAACTGGTGTTTTATGAGGTGAGACATCACTAAGTTTGCCAGCTTTTATAGGCTTGAAAACTGAATGATTCTTTACAAAGGGTAGCCTAAGAGGGCTGTTGAGAGTTGCCAAAAGGTAGAGCTCAGGAAGGCCAGGGGATAGGAAAAGCTAGGATGCTGCTGTAGAGTAGCTGAAATGAAGACTGGCCTGGAAACTAGTCTGGGAAAAAAATGTCCCTACGATGAGTTAGTTGTGAGAAGGAATCAAGTTTAGATGAAAAACATTGATGGAATCTGCTAGTGGGAGATAAGTTCAGCTCACTATAAAGCAATGCAGAAAGACTTTAGGGACATTATCTGCCATTTTTTGTTTTGACAGTGCCACCATCAAGGTTTACATTTCAGAATTAGTCTGAAGATCATGAAAATCATCATTGACTAATCATTTTATAATTTTGAGACCTTTTTGTCCTGAACAATATTTCCTAGAATAACTCTTTGGGAAGTGAGGAGGAGGAAAAAGGTGTTCTGTGTGAACATATGAAATAAAATACAGGTCAATGAGTTTATTAAATCACTGAGGAGCCCTCTGTTCACATGCAGCCTTATTCAATATTGAGTCATGAAGAAACCTAGACCTCCCAGTGTTATATCCAGAAATAACTGTGTCTTGTGGGAAAGAGCAAAGGAAACCTAATATGCCCTATACAACAAACCAAAATACCAAACCACCTAGTGTGCTTTCTAACAACTCCCTACCAACAGTGGCTTTGCCTGAGACCTCTAGAAAACTTGTAGCATCCCAATGGACCTTGTTCATCAGTACTACAAAATTTCCCAATGCTTTGCTTCCTTGAAACAACAATCATCCACTTAGTTTTCATTTGTAAGGCGACTGCAAGACATCACTTTACATCAGTGGGAACAAGCAATAGAGATGCTGTGTATTTCTGTTATAGAAAGAATCTTGCACTTTGATGTGTGATAATACATTACTTTGGAGCAAAGGAAATATAAAAAATAATTGGGATGGGTTGCAGAAGGCATACAAAGGAAAGAAAAATTAAGTGATAACTTTAAAATAAAAAATAAATCTAAATCTATGTATACAGACCGATATGTGATAGAGTTTTAATCACAAGTTTATATAGATGAGATAGAAAAGGGCAGTTAGGAGTACTGACTAATAGTAATCATAATACCTTGAACTGTTCTACCTTTCAAGGATGTTCCACATTTCCACAGGATTAGGAGTCATAAGGCATAGGGGAAAATAGATTCATAAAAAGGTTGTGGTAAGATAAAAGAATTTCAGAGTTTGTAAAAGTGGAAGTGGGACCCTTGTGGATGATGACAAAATCAATAGTATAACCATCTTTGTGTATAGCTGAGGTGCATTAAAGAAGTTGATTTTGGGAATTGACTAAATTGACAAATTGAAAATTTATAGTATTTGAGAGAGCATCTATATATCTATATCTATATATACATATCTATGTAGATAAATAGATATAGATATATATGTATGTGTATATGCATATGTATGTGTGTGTGTGTGTGTGTGTATACATATATATATGTATATATACACACACACACACACATACATATATGTATGCCAATGGGGAGTAAGTAGTGTTCTGCCACTGAGACAAGTGAGCTGGGGGTGTGAAAGCAAATTCACCCAGTAGTGGAATAGGTGGCAACAGAAGCAATGTCATCAGGAGGGATCCAGATCTCAGTGAGTGCCAGATCATGGAAAGAACAAGATGAGGATTAAAATTAAAGTAACTTAGTTAATTATGAATTAGGCGTTCTGGAAGTCACAGTGGAAGGAATTGAAATTCAGATGTTAGAGTGATAGGGTTGAAGTGGACGGAAAGGGAAGTGGACAGTTTGGCATGGAGAATGGGCTTTGCATATCTGTAGCTAGCCAGAATCCCTGGGATGGAATTTGTAAAGTATAATGGAGTGTGAGTATGTTAACAATTGAGGAGTGAGTCCAGGCAGGGTATTAGTAGCTAGAGAAAGGTCTGTAAATGGAATCATGTGATTCAGTCATTCCAGTGCTTCCCTGGACTAACCTCCTAGTGGGTGGATATTGCATTTTTTGAAGCCTTAGGATGCCTGCCTCACAGCAGGCAGGAGAAGAAAGTATAGGAGCCTAGTTTTATCTTGTTTTCCATAGAAGACATGTCTGGGAAGAGGGACAGAGGCAGAAGGGATGTTGTCTGGGGTCTAATCTGCATTGGCAAAGGCCTTGGAGGCCTCAGAAGCACATCAGTGGGTGACAGTGACAAAGAACGCCAGAAGGCAGGTGGCCCTGGCCTTGTCCTAGAGTTGACCTGTGAGAGGGCCTTAAGGGAGGTGGAAAAGTTGGCAGTCTCAAGTTTACATACAGGAAAATTAAATTGTGACTATGTTAGGTGACTTTTCCCAAACAGAACTTGTCATTGTCAAGATTACAAGTAAAAAAAGTTTGTTTTTTAGTGTTTCCAGGCTTCACATTCTTTATTTCTCCTATGACCTCCATCTGACAATAACCACTCCCTGACTTTCTTCTAAAAGCAATATCCTCATGACCTCCAGAGATCCATATCAAAACATGATATCAGGAAAAGGTCTGAAAATCATTGTGTCTAAGGTGAACGAAATTGAAGAAAAAGAGCCTGAAATGCTTCTGATCCTACTGAATAGCTAGTGCCTAGAACATGCATGGCACCGGGAATGCAAAGGGAAAAATCAAAAGCATTTCTGCCCTAAAGGAGTTTTCATTTTTCTAAGGGGAAAAATATGTAATAGATAAGACAAGATCATTTGAGAAGGGAAAGAGCACTAACAGGTGGTAGAGTCTGTAAAATCCTCATTAGAAGAGGACATGTTAGCTTTGCTTTGATGGAAGCTAGGGATTCTAAGGGGTAGAGGTGAAGAAAGAGTGCATTCCAAACTTGAGGGCCAGCCTGGGAACAGTTGGGAAGTTAATTGGGCTATACTCTAGAGGCCAAACAGGATCATTTTCGTTTTAAGAAGGATCAAAGTCTGAAGCTAAAGGAATTAGGTTTTCATGGTAGAATTTCAGATATTAGCTAGAGGATGGAAGTATGTTTTTTTTGTTATTGTTCTTGTTCAGCATTTCTGAAATCTTTAAAATTATCCCATCAAAATAGTCACCTATGCTTTCTCTATGACATTTATGTCTTCTTAGACATTTCTGGGAAAAGACTAAGAATCCTAAATGTCCTGGGGAAAGCTCTTTGTTACTAGCTATAACTCATGCATAACATCTGCTTCATTAGAAAGAATTCCAAACATGATTTTATCTATCAATAATAGTTCAATATTTTATGAAATCTTAGGATATTGATTTGACAAGAGCCAGCTTTCCTCAGGTTGCACAATTACTATTTTTCTTTAAGTAGCTTTCTTAGATGCTTCTGTCTGGGTTTTGCATGCTGGCAAGCTTGCCACAAGCTTTTAAGTTCCCATTTTTTGAGTACCTGAATTACAGATTTCCTGGGAGCTTTTCCTAACAACATTAGTTTGAGCCAGGCAGGAGAAAGTTGGGAGAGTATGACTCTACTGGCTGACTTTTGTTTTTTGTTTTTATTTTTTTTTTTGCTTTTTGGTGAGGCAATCCGGGTTAAGTGACTTGCCCAAGGTCACACAGCTAGTGAGTGTAATGGGTCTGAGGCCAGATTTGAACTCAGGTCCTCCTGACTCCAAGGCTAAAGCTCTAGCCACTGCACCACCTAGCTGTCCCTTACTGGTTGACTTTTGACCTCAGATATTTACTGGCTATGCAACCCTGGGAAAGTCACTTAACCTTTGTCTGCCTCAGTTTCCTCAGATATAAAATGGGGATAGTAATAGCACCTACCTCCCAGGGCTGTTGCGAGGATCAAATAAGATAATATTTGTAAAGCACATAGCACGTTGCCTGGTACATGCTTAATAAATGCTTGTTCCCTTCTGACCGAATGTACCCATTGCAATATATTGCTAATATTGGCCCCATTGTTGGCCAGCCACTGTGAGAAAGAAAACAATATGACTGAAGTCATACTTCTTCAAAACTTTTCCCTTTTCTGTAAGCTCCATAAATATTTTCTGCACTTGGCAATTAGAAGGACATTTTTTTTGGGGGGGGGGGCAATTCGGGTTAAGTGACTTGCCCAGGGTCACACAGCTAGTAAGTGTCAAGTGTTTGGTCTGAGGCCAGATTTGAACTCAGGTCCTCCTGACTTCAGGGCTGGTGCTCTATTCACTGCGCCATCTAGCTGCCCCCTTAGAAGGACATTTCTATAAAGCTCTTAATACCCTGGACCTTCTTAATGATACTGTCAAGCCCCTATCAATGTGCATAGAAATGTCTTATGACTATCATAGAAAATTATATTCTGTTCTACAACATCGTCTTCCTTTTCTATTTATTTAATTTATTTTGCAAATCACCAGGGACCACTTTGTGACATTTTTTCCACTTTTTATTTTTTTTATCATTTAACTCTCTCCCTTCCTTTCAACTAAATTATAAGCTCCTTAGGATTAGAGATCACGTCTAAAGCTTCTTCATATACTTTGACATACCTAGTACAGTCCTTTGTCCATGGTAAATACTACGTGTTTATTGACTTAATAAAGTCACAAGGCAATTTTGTACTTTGTGCATCTCTTTCATACATGTGATAAATGTGGCGCAACTATTATTACACCCAGTTTGGAGATGAGAACACTAAGGCTATGCATGGTTAAGGGACTGTACATGGTCACATTGTTGTTGTTGTTGGTGGTGGTGGTGGTGGTGGTGGTCCTTCATACTCTAAGAGGATCAATGACATCATGATGTTGGAGCCAAGGTACAGTGGAATTGATGGTGGGTGATCAGTCGAATACAAGCTTGGAAGGCTCTACCATGGGACTATTAGAGGGTCCATTTGAATAGTTCTTTTAAACATGTAAAATAGAGGTGTCTCTGGATTTGTGAATCTCACATT